TTTGTGAAAGTGTCCTTTGTGGCTGGTCTCGGGATTCTCTAAAATAACTTTATGAATGTCCTCTAAAAGAAGTATAGGGTCCGCGTCTGTACGCGCTATGAATACTTTCTCAAAAACAGCTCTGATGACTCGCCCCTGCAGAATGCTGAGAGCCTCATCTAGAAGTAGCCTGGAAATCTCCACAATAAGTACCCTGATGTCATCCATGTGACGATCCCTGAGAACCACCAAATGAGAATCTCTAGCGTTTTTGGGATCCACATGAAAAAAAACATCATATAACTGGCCCTCTAACTGGGTTCTCTTCCTTTGCTCTCCACTTGCTCGTGCATCACACTCCTCATTAAGTTCCGTTGTGCGTGCACAATCAATTGCCTGAACAAATACAGATTCTAATACTAGGCTTGAATCCCTTAATAAGTTTCTTCGTTTTCTTCTTCTTAGAGAGGTGCTGAGAGAAGCGATAAAGTTGAGTAAAACGGCCACATAAGCAGGAACTATGTCGGTGCCTTGCTTAATAATGGCGAACTTTACCTCCAGCTAATCTCAAAATGACTTTGGAAAATACTGTTAAAAAAATGCAGTGTGAAACCTCTCCCAAATAAGGGGACCTCCAGCTACCATTAAAAGATGAGTGATCTTGCACCACTTGTAATTTGATTGATCCAGGACTCAGCCACAAATCAGTACTACCATCAAATGAAGGCAACTTATGAGTACAAAACTCTCCATATAAAGATTTCTCCATACTAGAAGTCGCACTTACGTGAGCCTGCACTAGCTATATTAAATCCTCGATGGCTTGAAAAGCACCATCGGGTCCATTATAATTGTGGTTAGCCTCCTGATCAATCGCATGAGTGCTTTCGGTGGGACGTCCTCCACAAACGGCTCAACAACACCGTGTAGGGTTGTCATAGTATGTCTGCTGCATAGAAGAATTCAACGTAAGCATATACACGAAATTTGAGAAACGAACCCACACGACCTTATTAAGGTCCACTACCCAACCTACCCAAAGTTTCATCACTCTAAGGTTAACGTATGTGAACCTAAACCTAAGCTCTGATACCACCAAAAGTTGTCGCACCCCAATCCCGGGATCGACATGTGACACAATGACATAGGGGACATCTTAACATATGTACAAGATACAAAATGAAATACTATAACTAATACATCAAAAGAAAAATGATAGTGGGCCTTCCCCCACAAATAGATACAAATCTATACTCTGAAAATACACAACCCTCACTAGGGCCAAGCCATGCACATAGACGCTCAAAATATAAGTTCTATAGGAAATAATACAAGGAATGATAAAGGGGTAACCTATTCGCTCCAAGTCTCTGATCTCTGCACTTTTACCTTTACTGACTCCTCGTAATCTACTCAGGCATGTCACCTGTACAATTAGTGCCTGGAGTTAATGCTAACGCACCCTGGCACGAATATCGAGTTCATGCTAACGCACCCTGGCACGAATATCAAGACATCACGTATTATGATTGCCTAGGCCAAGGTCTAATTCAATCGGGAAGTGGCCTGAAATCATCCTAGACCGTCGAAACCGTAAAATGAGTGTTCTTCAAATCGCTGCCAAATCGAACCTTAGTGCCCCAACCAGTGCTTGGGCCTTGTTCCTAGGATCAAGGAGAGTATTGGTGGTGGTGGTCGAAGGAACAAGCTTTAGAAACAGTCGATTGCTGTCAAATACTCATAGACCCATTGGTGGAGATTGAAGGGAAAGTGACGTGTGATCTTTGGTGGTGGTGAAAGGTTGAGAAAAGCCCAAAAAATCAACAGAAATCATGTCGAAAATTGCAGAGAGTTCGGGTCAGGAGCCGGGTCGTGAAGAAGGAATGGGCCGCTTTGGGTTCTCTTATCTCTTCTCTGATTCACCTCACTATCTCTCTCTCCCTAATTGGTCCCTCCCCCAAATTAATGGGAGCTTCTAATTATATATTAAACATATTTTAAATCTAATTTCTAACGTCCGTAACTCCTTCGTTATCACTCTAATTCGTGAACAACTTTCACCTACGCACTCGTGGAATTGAGTTCTATTCGAAAACACTAATTATGACCTTAAAAGGTCTACTAATTTTAAAAGATTAATTGTGAAAATTCATACCTTGTAACTATACAATTCAAATTGTATAATTAACGAAATTAGAATAAGATAAAAATAACGTAAATACAAAATACGAAATTAAATAATGAGATATGTAATAATAAAAAAATTTCGGAGATGGGATTTGACATATACAATAAAGCATCATATTTGGTGAAATTTAGGGTGGTTTGACTAACTTCCAAAACATTCGATCTTGTACAAATGAATACTGCTGCAACCTATATAACCCATTCAAAAATTTATATCGGGAAAGCAACCAAACTAATGAAAAGAAAAAGACAACCATCTCTATTTCTCTCTGCGCAATCTCTACAGATCCCTTTCTCTTTCTCTCTCTGTAACTCTTCCACTTACTGATCTCGTACAAACAGGTCTTACTTGCCCTTGTTCACGCCTCCCTCTCTCTCTCTGTAACACTTCCCTCACCAAATCTAAGCACCCAGCCCTCGATCTCACAGACTGCAACCCGCACCTCTCCCAAGTCTAAAATGATAATACTGCCTACCCATCCTTTACCTCAGGTCGTTGGATCAAAAATCTGGCCCAATTGAAATTGCCCTGTGCCTGTAGCTTAGCTACGTTGCCACCCCTCCCGACTTTAAACTAAGTTAATTACAAAATTGCCATTTTTTGTGGGTTTGGAGAGGGGTGGCCCTGTTCCTTGGAAATAGATTCTCTCCGAATCTCCTCATTTGGGATCTGGAGGATCAATGAATAATAATCGTTCATCAAAGATCGTGCGGCCACAATTGAATGTTTTCTATATTTTCAAAACTAAATCAGCCTCGTTTTGCATGAAAAATATAAAAAAAGAAAAAATTATGGTTGCACAATCTTTGATGAACAATTACTATTCATTGACCATGTAATTAGTTGTCGCCCATTTAAATTTTTTTTTTTATTTCTCTTTAGGGTTAACTTTCTCATTAGTGGGGCAAGTTCATTTTCATCAAATAGATAGTGGGTTGGATGCTATAATATGCAAACTTATTTAGTTGTATTGTTGTTTACTTGAAAACAAATGTATTTCGATTTTAATATTGCTTTAATCTCATTTTTAGGAGAGAATAAACAAGATTTCTTTTTCTTGCACAAATATATGGTATTAAAACTTTTAGTATATTTCTTTATTTATGTGACAAATTTTTCGACCCACCTTTGAGACTAACTATTGTTTTTTACTACATAATCATACATACATATATATATATGTATGTATGCCAGGACAGAGGCAGATCTAATTAAGAATGTTGTCGATCATATTTGGACAAACTTGAATTGTGAATCATCATGTGATTTAGAGGGCCTGGTTGGAATTGAAAGCCATATTCAGCAAATTGAATCGCGACTGGGCATTGATTCAAAGGACACTTGCATCACTGTAGGTATTTGGGGCATGGGTGGTATTGGCAAGACCACTCTTGCTGAAACTGTATTTCACAGACTCTCTTCTAAATTTGAAGCTTCTTGCTTTCTTAAAAATGTCAGGGAGAAATCAGAACAACTAGATGGAATAGATTGCTTGCAAAAGAAACTTCTAAGTGAGATATTCAAGGAAGAAGGTCTATCTATAGGATCAACTGCTATTCGAAATAGGCTTAGCCGCACAAAGGTCCTCATTGTTCTTGATGATGTGAGTTGTCCAATGCAAATACAACGTTTAGCTAGTGATCTTCTTCGATATGGCACTGGAAGTAGAATCATTATCACAAGTAGAGATAGGGGCACACTTAGGCAAACTATTAAAGAGGATAATATCTACAAGGTTAAGGTATTAAAACCAGATGACGCTCTTCAGCTCTTCTGTTCGCATGCTTTCAAGAATAACACTACTCGTAGAACAGATTATGAGGAGTTGGCGAAAAAGACCGTGGATTATGCCAGAGGAGTTCCTTTAGCTCTTACAGTTCTGGGATCCTTGTTCTTCAATTGCAGGAGCAAAGAAGACTGGGACGATGAATTCAACAAATTGAAACAATCTCCTAGTGAAGATATCCAGAAAGTGTTGAGAATAAGTTATGATAGATTGGGAAAATATGAGAAAGATATATTTCTGGATATAGCATGTTTTCATAAAGGGAAGATGGTGAATGAGGTAAAACAAATGTTAGATGTTCGTGGATTCTTTGTGACAGCCGGAATTAGAATTCTCAGTGATATGTCTCTCATATCAATATATTCAAATAAATTGGGATGGGAAGTCATAGAGATGCATGATTTGCTACAAGAAATGGGAAGGACAATTGTTCAGGAACAATGTTTTAAAGATCCTAGTAAACGGAATAGGTTGTTCACGAATGAGGATGTCTATCGTGTACTGAAGAGTGACACGGTAAAAGTCAAATGCATTCAATTTTTCTTTCTTTTTTTTTTTAAGAAAAATAAATAGCAAATTTAGATGATAACACAACAAAGTATTGTTCCAAAAAAAAAAAAACACACACACAACAAAGTAAAATCATTTATAATAAAGAAGTCAGATTCTTAAAAAATTAATTTGATTGAATTTTTATTGCAAAAGTGGTATTCTTGTTATCTATTTATATCATCTCTATAATAAAGATAGGATTCACATGAGTTGGCGGGCGGCTCTATCTCTATTAGAAATATGATACAAGTAATGGTACAACTAAGTGATAAGAATAACACTACTCTTTTTATTGTGCTAGGAAGTCTATGTAATATTTATTATTTTATTACAATTAACTTGGATACTTTAGTAGAAACTTGTACATCATTACCATCGCAAAGACTCTAGATTATTCTTCAACTTTGTTGAATTCTTTTTCCAAATAAGCATTACATCTTGACATGTTGAAAATATATACATTTAAACTTTGTTCTTATTCTTTGTTCTTATTGTCAGGAAACTCCAAACATTGAAGTCATATTTATTGGATGGCATAAGAGTGAAGAGCGACCACTAATGAAACGCGCAAACTTCAAACTGATGCCAAACCTAATAATGCTACGTGTGTATAATTCTCTATTTTTTGACTGCAAATTCCCTGCTTCTCTAGACCTTCCCGATTCTCTTCGTTACCTTTATTGGTGGGGATATCCACTGGAATCTTTGCCGTCAAATTTTTCGCCGGAAAATCTAGTTGAGCTTCATATGCCATATAGCAAAGTTAAGAAGATTTGGAAAGAAGACCAGGTATATTATATGCCTATTTTAATTCTTGTATAAAAATTAAGTGTAGAAATTATATTAATTCTTGATATTTCTCTTTACCCGTTACAGAAACTTGTGAACTTAAAAGTGATCAATCTACAAATCTCTACAAATCTAACTGAAGTTCCAAATCTCTCTGGGAGTCGAAAAATTGTGGACATATATCTCTCTGGTTGTAGAAGTTTGGTTGAAATTCCTCAGTATTTTCAAGATCTTGACAAGCTTACTGAGCTTCATCTTCAAGGCTGCACCAGTCTCAAATATCTTCCAGAGATGATAGGAAATATTAAATATTTAAATTATTTAACACTGGTATAAAGGAGTTGCCCCAATCAGTTTGGTCTCACGAAAAAATTTCTTACTTGAATATAAGTCATTGCGTTAACCTTGAGAAACTTCCAAGCAACAGGTGTAAGTTGAAGGTCTTTGGTTCTTTTAATCTAGATGGCTGCACATCTCTCGGTGAGTTTTCTGAGCTTCCCAGGGATATAAGTAAATTATCATTGGTTGGTTGCAAGAGACTTGTGAGTCTACCAACCAGCGTTTGTAAGTTGAAATATCTTGAGGAACTCAATCTCTCCAGCTGCTTTAAATTTGAAGACTTCCCAAAGATCTTGGAGCCAATGGAACATTTGAAGTCCTTAAATTTAAGTGGAACAATGATTCAAGAGCTACATTCATCAATCGAGTTTCTCCCTGCTCACGCAACTGCAAAAGGCTTTCAAGCATCCCAAAGAGCATTTGTAAGTTGAAGTATCTCAAGGTGCTCGATCTCTCTTTGTGCTCCAAACTTAGAAAACTTCCCCGAAATCTTGGAGCCAATGGAAGATTTGAAGTTCTTAGATTTAAGAGGAACAGCGGTTACCGAGCTACACTCGTCAATTGAGTTTCTCCCTGCACTCATAATTCAAGTACAAGGTTACACAGGTTTTTTCAGGTATACCAAAGACCATTTGTAAGTTGTAATATCTAAGTCATTAAATAGAAAATTTGGGAGAAGAAAAAATTGTTGATGAAATCAACAATTCTAGGTTTATGAAAAAAAAAAGAAAAAGTCCCGTTGTAAGACCTAGAGAGCAGAAGCAATCCTACTGGCTACTGGCTGTGGTATCAAAGATCTGTGTGATCAATATGTTTCAAAGATCTTTTCAAAATTCTGGACTAACCTCTACATGCTACAGAAAGGGTCTTTACAAACCTTTAAAAAAAAGCACAAAAGACAACTTATAGGTAGATACCGTAAATTTACAGCTTGAGGTAGCTCAACCACATAATGCAGCAGAGTAAGATAGCTCATCCACAACAAACCAAAGGGCATTATGCGGAAAAGTTGAGAGATAATAACAAAATCTTCTGACTGAAAGAGTATTCAAGTAACCACTGATCTTATACATCATAAAGAAAATTCGCTTTACAAGAAATAGAAAGCATCATGATGAGGACACTGGGGTGACTCCTTAACAGACAAGTCCGCCAAACCATTTAATATAAGTATACAAACAAAAAATTCGTTCAGGTAGTTGTACATGAGTTCCAAATTTCCAATATAATCACATTTTCTCAATTCATTCCTTAGAATAGTCAATAATGGCTTAAAGGTCCACGCACAGATGCAAAAAGCACGGCCACTCATAAAATCTACATGCAGATTATACAGAAACAAATAGACTTGTTACTGTGCTTCCTTAATTGTGCAAGTGCTCACACAAACACAAAATGTCACATTAAATTCAACACTTTTCAAAATTAAAACCATTAACGTAGAAGATGTAGTTCAATGTTTTATCCATTCAATATTTCTTAAATGCAAATTAGATGTTCTCCGTGCACATTTCTTTGTTTGAGGTTTATTTTATTTTTTTTCATTTTCTAGGGCATTAAAATGTATCATATTCACACCTAAAACATAGAAGCAAGGAAAAGAAAGAAATGATTGAGAATATACATAAAGAGAAAAAAGACATTTTTATGTAAAAGAAATAGTTGAAAACTACAGTATGGAAGAGAAGACGAGTTAGAGAGACAAACCATGTGGCATATGCTATCTGATAGTTCAAGAGCTTCATCCCACTTGTTCGCTTTAATAAGCCCTTTAATAAGATGAATGTATCCAGCTCTGGAAAACCACCATGCCTCATCATGTCAGCAAACATCTCCAGTACCTTAGCGATCACCTTATTTGCATGTAAAAAAGACTCAATCAATGAAGTGTACATATTCTTGTTCACATATGAAAACCTTCCAGCCTTTACAAAATTATCAATCAGAACTTTGCATATATGAGTAATTGGCACCGGGTCACTTTCACTCATCTCATTTAAAAGCCCAAGAGAGGTCATAAACTCTCTATTGTAACCTTCAATAATTTTACTGTAGCCTGCCATATGCTTAGGCCAATGTGTTTGTTTCATTTCATCCAAAAGCTTATGAGCTTCATCCAAAAGTCCATTTGAACAGCAATGGTTTATCAAAACCCCGTAGGTGATAAAATTTGGTGCACAGCCCTTAGAGCTCATTTTATTAAAAAGCACAATACACTTTTCGACATTACCTGCTTTCCCAAAGCCATCTATCATTGCAGTATAAGTCACAACATTTGGATAACACCCTTTTTCTTCCGTCATCAGCATAAGCTTATAGTCTTCATCTGTTTTTCCAACTTTACACAGGGCATCAATCATCTCTGTGTAGATAACAACGTTTGGTGTACAAGAGTTTTCTAACATTTTGGACAAGACTTTTAAAGCGAGATCCAGTCTTTTATCCTTAAACAACCTATCAAACAAAGAACTGTACGTACACACATTTGGACTGTACCCTTGCTCTGACATCTTAGCAAACACCTCTTGTGCTTCATCTAGCTTCCCATACATGCAAAATCCATCTATAAGAGCATCAAAAATAATATGGTTAGGTTCACAACCTTCTTCTGACATAGCATGCAATAAGTCACGGGCCTCTTTAACCTTGTGTGCTTTGCATAAACCATCCACCAAAGCCCCATAAGTATAGACATTAGGTTCTCTAATACTCTGATCATCACTTCCAAAATACTTATCAACATCAGGGATGTCCACATTACCTCTCATTCTCTCATATATCTGGCAAGCCTTTTCAATTCTACCAATGACCATCAATTAAAGCAGTATAAGTAACAACATTAGGATTGCAACCTTCAGTCAACATCATCTCAAAAAGTTGATCTGCATCAGACACCTTCTTTGCTTTAAGGTATGCATGTATAAGAGCAGTATATGTCACCACATTTGGAGCATAACCATTTTGTATCATTTCATTAAACCAGCTCCGAGATTGTTCAATTAGGCCAGCTTTACAAAACTATCAATTAAAATGGTATAGGTACAGACATCAGGAACAATACTATTCCTCTTCATTTCTTTAAACAACAAAAATGCTTGTTCTACCCAGATATCATCTTCATGTAAAGAACAGTATTGGGCACAAACTCTAAAGAAACCAAAAGAAACAGAAGAATGGTCTCTTCTCATTTACTGACTTGATAATTACATTTACATTTGGGGTATATATATATATAGTCAAGGCCATGTACAAGACTTCCTCTAACAACCTGTAACAAATATAACAACCTAACCAAAACTATACAGGTGTAACAAGAATAATTGGCTGCCTAAACTATACGACTGTCATGACTTGGCATCTTTATCTTTAAACACTTCCTTCTCAGCCAATGCGAGAGCTTCCTTCCACCTCCCAGCTATGCAAGGGGCGTGAACAAATGAACCTAATGTATACTCATCCATCTTCAACCCCGAATCCAACATCTCCACATGGACCAAGTGTGCTGTGTCCAACTTATCTGCTTCTAGAAACACTTGAACTAAAGCATTGTAAGTTGCTTGAGTTGGCTTGTATCCGAAATCCTTAAGCCTCCCCAGCTCTTCCAAAGCTACATTTTCCACAACCCATTTCGGCAGCACTTCCAAATCAACACGTTAAGCAACTTCCTAAGAACACCTCTGTCATCACCCTTAATTTCTTGCAGAAAATGTTCCGCTACCCTCTTATTACTACAACACTCCAATAACTCTAACAACGCGTTGTACACGGGATCAGTGTGACTATACCCAATTTGTCTACCTGCCCATGTGAAAAATTTCACACCCAATTCAGGATTTTGTAGAAGCTTCAACACCTCCAACACCAGAGTTTCATTCAGATTATCCCTAAACTGCCTAAGAAACTTCTGGGTTTTGTCATCAAACTCATCATTACTATCCCTAATAACATTGGAAATCAAAATGGCATTGTTAGAAAACTGTTGAATCAAATTTTGGCATTCCACCACCAGCACTGGTATCCAACATCGAATCGTGCAGAGAGGCGAATTCCTCTGCCAAAATAGACTCAGCTCACGAACCGTCCCGCTTGAAAAAATCGTTGGGATCGACCAGAGCATCGAGATTGTCCTGCGAAGAAGTGCAAAGTAATCTGGGGAAGCAAAGTTTTAGACTTTGGTGGGAGGATTTGAATGGAGAAGGGAATGATTGTGACTGATTTGTGGAGAAAAAGGGGTTGGAGTTCAGACGGGACGAAGATATGGTGGAAATTGATTGCCAGAGGAGAGTTTCCAACCACCTTCTGTTCATTTTTGAGCTACGAGAAGCTTAGAGCGGGTGATTGTTTTCAGGGTTTATGGTGGGGGTTTTGTTTTCGGGCCGGAAAGAAAGGCGATATTTGGGCCTGTTTAAAACTGGTTTTGAAAAGACTTGAAAGCGCTTTTACCTGTATTTGGAAGCAAAACACTTCCAAATGCTTTATTTAAACGCACTTAAATATTTAATGGTTAACAGCATTTTGCACTGTAAAGCATTTCCAACAGTAGTCTAAATGTAACTCTTCAGATATAAGTTTGTTGATCTATGTGGCAGTTTGAAGACTAAAATTTGTTAATTCACAATTTTACTCCAACTGACTCCACACATTTTAGTATTTATTGGAGCTTGTTAGTGTAATTACCATTTCTAAGAAAAACTTCAAAAAAAAGACGATATTTTTAGCTTAGGTACCAATTGAAAAATCAATCCAATCATCTTATAAATATCACTCTACTTCAAAATAATGAAATGATTGCTACCCAATCTCACTAAATATTTTGGTAACTAGTGGCCGGCCAACCAACTTTCAGGTGATTTTTATGGCAACCCTCGACTTTTTCTGTGATCGACTAGTCAACTATTTGTTGACCGATGACCAGTAGATCAACCCTAAATCATTTTGAAAGAAAACATGATTTCAAAATGTCTTCAATGAGATTTGAACTCAAAACCACAAAATAGAACTATCAACGGATCGAATTCAGATTGGATCAGACTTAATCCATATGCAGATCCATTTATAATCATATTAACAGATTCAAATCATTAGATCTGACTTGTCAATCCATGTCCCATTAGGGGTGTAGCTAAATTAGGATTTGATAGTATTTTAATGGATTTCGAAATTTGGGTGTATTCAATTAGAATTTTACATGAGGATTTTAAAAGATTTTGAAATCATGGTGTAATAAAATTTGGATTTTAGAGGATTTTAAAAATACATTGAAATCCAGGGATAGTCGATTAGCATTTTAAATGAGTCTTCAAATGTCCAGGTGTAGTGAAAATACCAAGGATTTGCTAGGATTTTAATGAGTGATGGATTTTGATGGATTTTAGGG